GCCGACCACTCGGCCACCGGCCGACTACCAAAGTACTATACCAACCGATTGTTTCCAAACCTCTCTCTGAACTCATGACTACTCGATCGGTTCCAAGTATCTTTCGAGAATTTGAGACTCTTGGTTTGTTTTTCTTCCGATGACTGTGAAATCTGATGAATGCCTCTGGATATCCATTGGCCCTTAATGTCAGATTCCCTATCCGATCTTGTTAGTGACAGGGAGCTGCCCTGTCCATTTTATTAGGAATTCCTCTTAGAGAATTGTGGCCACCAACGTCACCAAGGCATGTGAGACAGTTGACGAACTCGGTCTGTTTAGAGAGTGGGTTTCAGCCGCTTAATTGTCGAACCATACGCCGACTGAAGCAGACGGACGGTGCTGTGTTGACACACCACATGAATTTTGACCGCTATCGATTAAACAGCAACGGTACACCAAGATTACTTCCATCAAATTTTGCCCACCTGATTCGTATGGGGGTTAATGATTGGAATATGAGTAGCTTCCAACGGTAACACAGCTATACCTGAGGAACCGTCACCAATACGACATGCAATCGAATCAAGCAAAATGTTGGATAGAGGACTTAGTGAACAATCCGTTGCAACGGATTTCCTTCTCTTCCTTACAACGTCGACAACTTGATTCAATTGAACGATGGCTTAAACTGAGTCTACTTGAGCCAGAGATCGACGATTCCTGCTGCACTAAAGTTTTCATTACTGCGTGTCACCGCAAGACAGTACATTAAATGTGAGCACCTCTCGCTACTGAAGCGCTCTGGGACAGAAAGCTTTGTAGATCACCTAATTTACTAATGAGTAGTGCGGATTTTCTTAGAATTTAGTTAGTAACTGGCAAAGCAGTGGGATGACCCAGGCTAAATAGTCATTTGTCAATCACGCAGATGCTCGGCTGTCACTCATGGTGAAGTGGCGCTAGCTGCTGACCTCCGGAAGTCATGGGGTCGGAACCAGACAGGGGTCCGATTGAAGTCGCACCCCTGACGAGATCCAGAAGGTCGAGACAGTGCTGTCTGGTGCCTTTCTGGACTTAACAAAGCCTGTTGACTGAGAGTGGGGCGTGAAAAATTACCTGAATCATCTAATTTGCTTGGACGGTAGTAAGGTCTGACGAGCGGTCCAGGCCGTACAACGGTAACCCAAATGGATCTCCCGATTGATCAGCCCCAAAGACATCGTCATCTATCACAGAAAATGAAACAGTCTAACACCCATCAGCTAATTTACTCTTACAGGCTCGGAGAGCCTGCACTGTGGTTTGTTGAATCTAGAGCCTCGGGCACAGCCTGGTCCTACAAGAGGGCACAGTCTGGTCGAAACAGTCTGAGACGGCATAAAATCGAGGTAATCACTTGGCCTCTTGTGGAGAGTACTCTAGTTTGCTAACGTAATTTTATTCACTCTGACCCACCGCGCTTTGGTTGATTACTCGTCTCCAACGCACATTTCGGCTGCGTTCTCAAACCATCTCCGTTAGACCGCTTCGACTTCATTCACAGCGGGTTGGTTCATGCCCTCTACTCCGAACTCGCTGTTGACCCCATTGCTCCGAATATGTTCATTTCCACGAGTGAGTTCATCTTGACTCCAGGAGTGTGATGGCTTTCCTTTTGCATCCCATGCTTTGTAATTTAGACCACTTCGTGAATCAACATTTCCCACCCACCACACTGTCCAATCTTAGCGCGCGGACAGATTGCGTACCTAGACGAGTGGAGAGCAGAGATTCGCGCAGCAAGGTCACAACTACCGCCCTGTTGAGTTTGATCACGCAGATGTCTCCTTTTTTGAAGGGCCTAGCAACAGTGTAACTAGTTGTCAATAAATCCTCAAAATGCGGGGTTGCTCTGCACCGCAGGTGGGTCTGTGTTCAACAGCCATGCTGACATGTCCTAACGGATATTTGTAAGATGTGCTATTGGCTGTTTTCGGATTGGTCACAACTAATAGTACGCATTGATGCAATTCAAATTCTTTGTGAACCGAGTTGAGTGTCTTTACGAAGAAACAAGACTTTCATAAGGAGGCGTTTGAAACTTTTATGGACGCAATTGACTCGGATCGAGGAATGCGGGTCAAGTTATGCCGACTAAATCCTCATCTTGCTCGCTCGTGGTTAATTGGTTTAACATAAGATGTTACTGACCTAGCGTTGACACTCGCGCAACTCGGTATCTCTATCGGTGCGTAATGAGAATCTTGAAGTGAATGCCACTTCGAAGCTTCCAACTAGTTTGCTGGCTGCAAACAATCAGGTCTATAAACATGCTTTTACCATAGCAAACCTTCAAAGCATCACTGTTCTTTGTACTTACGTCACTAGTGAGTTGATGGTGTAAAAGTTAGGATTTCAGTTGGTGGCCCCTAAATCATGGGTTCGAGTGGTCGTTCTGCCACTTTTACCTGACAAATTCAAGCTAGCTATTAGAACATCTGATAGCAACTCAACGCCCTCCGAACTGGAAGCAAGAACACACCGCGCTGGGACGAACTGTATTGAAAAATGACATTCCTGAGCAATTGCAATGCGCAAAGCTCTATAGACCAGTCAGCCAACCACATGAAAGGACATATTTATGAATGGTAAGCGGTCTAACTCTGAACGACTGTGGTGTGTGCGTCCAACACAATTACGTGAAAGGACAGTCACGAATGTGAAACGATCTAACTGTGAACGACTGTCAAGCACAAGCCCATCTAACACTAGTATGAAACGGGTCGTGGTTTTCGATGTTGCGAGTCAACAAACTCAACATTTTTATTTCAGATACATTCGCTAAACTAGCCATGATTTACTTGAAGTGAATTGCGGTACATGTTGAGATTTGTTTCGCAATCTGTTCACACCACAGTGGTTCCTTAAAAACCAAAAACAAGCGCGAGTTTGTTTAACAATCACACGGGAAATTGTGCCAGCAATCGTTGCCAGTATGATTAGATTGTTGTATGTGTACTGTTTTACCTGAAGAAACGGTGAACGAAGTTGAAACCGTCCAATTTCATGGACGCAATGTGCACACGTAACAATGGTTTCCATAGTTAAACTCATGTAGCGTGGAGCTATAAGCTAGTCAGTTACCGAATTAAGGACAAGCCTAGTCCAATGAATAGTAACATTTGAGAAAGTTAACAAACCAATACCATGGGTGCCTCAATTTGGATACGTGAAACTCAGGGGGAGTTGATAAAAGAGAAGCGCTGATTTTGTGCCTTTGGGCTTTGCTCTGAACATGTTCCCGGTGCAGCATGAGAGCAATTGGGCATGTAATAAATAACAAATGAAAGCACCAAGTTAGAGAGTCGATGCATATCAAATGTTTCTTTCTGTCCTATACGCCTGTTTGATGGGAGATTGATAACTAGCCATTAGATAACTGTAAGTTTGGAATGCGTCTGGTTATGGTGATGAAATTTGTCAAGGGGACACTGTTTTCAGTTATGTGCTTGCGTTACACCACTTAAGATACGGAAGGCGTCAGTGTGAAGTCCTTCAATGTACATCAAAACGGTTGAATTTGATGGACATTGACTCACGACGTCGAAGGCGTAGTCGAATGTTAGAGCCACCATCGTGTGTTAATAGTTTCTGCTCACATTGACCAGATGTTTTTGGTCCCTCTCGGAACAGTTCATCCGGCAACTTCCTAAGCGATTAAATGGACAATACTCCATTTCCACTTAATGGTTTCCATCATAGGTATTTGACACTTGTGTGACCGATAAAATTGGCAGATGCTAAACGCAAATTGTTTACAATTGACCATCAACATGCCCGCTAGGTGCTCATCTTTTGTCACGGAGCCTCCATTTATTCTATCCAATAGATATCTTCACTGATATGAAGCTTAAGGCTGAAGATATTCCATAATCGTTAGCATATGCAGATCTCTGTTCATGGGACGGTTGTCACCTAATTCGAAGAGCCCACACACTAAAGGAACAGAATGCCGCGGAATTTGGCGAGCTGATGATGCATGATTTGTTGCTAGGCTGGAATACTGCGATGTACAGTTAAAAGGTCATTTGGATTCTCTGCTGTGACAAGTGCAACTAAGTGCTCATATACGGTTGTGTAGAGAAAGATAAAATGTGAGTTTGAGAACTGGATTTGCTTAACATAAGGGGAGATTTTCGCAGACACGGGGATCACTTGCGTGAGATGCAAATTGTCACGGAGACGAAAGGGTTGACTACCATGGCGCACTCTAGCAAGGCGAGATTAGCCAGTCTGCGGGAGCAGCTGACAGACTCGTTGTCATGGACAAACGGGAAGCTGATGAAACCAGCCCATCAGCATGACACAGGTTGCTATGTGACCGGTGTAATTGAGCGTGGCTGCAGCTGGCAATTGCGGACCACTAGCAGGTATGGAATCTCTCCAGCCATGTGGCATGAATCAGCTCGGAAGGTATAACCGGAGATGATAGAATGTGACCTATAGAATGAACCATGTTCTGCGCTTAATACACTTCAGTCTATCAGGCTTCGATGTTCTGATTTGTATCCGTCTGGGTTAACGTGGCAGAGAGCAGAGAGGTAGCGTTGCAACACAAATATACCGGCCTCCGGTACACGCGTTTCCAACTCCTTGCTCATTGCATAACACCAGTGCACTCCAAAGCCCGAGTTAGGTGGATTCGCGGGATATTTATGTCAGCACCTAAGTCATGTTTTGCTGGTCTTGGCCTCCTGTCTACGTAAACATGCTATTTATTTCTATCTTCTCCAGCTAAAAGTTAAGGTACAAACGGTGGCGTTGACTTTGTGACAATCTTACCTGGACATATACGTTTTGATTACGCATTGGGAGTTCGCAACATGTCGTCGACGTGTTATCGCCTCATTTTTCCAAAATTAAATTTTTTCTGTAAATGCACTGGTCGCAGCCGTTATTTGATCGAAAATTCGACAAGTTGTTGTGAAAGAAGCTTTTCCTTCTAAGACACCCTTGTTCTCTGTCCCCTCTCTAATCAGCTCCACAGCTTCACCCAAAATTACGTGTGCTTGCATCTCCGTGCAGCAAACCAAGCACAAAGATCTTTAACGCACCGACCTTGACGGCTTATTTGCAGCTCAACAGTATGGACAAACACAACCACGATTTCATCTGCAAAAACCACTATATGTTGCTTTAGTTGGCGTGTATAACTGTCTGGTTTTTATCCCACTGCCCTTGTCTATTGTACTTGAACACAGTTTCATTTGTATTACATGAGATGTGTTATCACAGCAACTCATATACAGCCTTTTTGTTAGTGAATTTTCCTTGTAACCTTAGTGGCTGTGGCTCCGTTTATGGCTCACACCTAGAAGTCAGGCGCTGCGTCGGTCAAACGCCGCGTAGTTCAACGAATTTATTCGATATAAACCATTAAAATAGATTACACCATACGTTTTGCCATTGGTCCGCCACCTTTCAATCACTCAGGCCTCGTTTGCAGTGGTTCCAAACAAGTAACGTATACTTTTGATCAGTCGTGCACATCTCGTGATATAACCCGGCGATCGCTCAGAACATGAATCTATGCTGCTGCGACAACACAAATTGTTACGACGTCAAGTTTAGAAACAGAAACAAAACACCAAGTTTTAAACGAACAATCGTTTTTGATTAATTCTTCGTCAGGCTCATACAATAATATTTATTAGAGGAAAGCCCGTTGCAATCGACAGCATAACCAAAAACAATTGATTACTAGCAGACCTTTAATAGTTTTGGGATTCAAAGACCAAGTGCCTGATCATATCCTATTAATGTTAATCTACCGGTTCACCTGTCCGCGCGGGGCCAGGTACATTGGACGGACGATCAGGCATTTAGATAAGAGAATTAAGGAACACCTACCTGCTTCGCTCTACTATCGCGAGAATGACAAACTACAGCGCGATTACGAACCACCTAATCAACACAGGCCCGCAGCTAAACAAACAAACATGCTTTCATATTCTCTACGGAATACCACCATGGCATAACCATCGTGTAGGAGCAAGCCAATTTGCCACGACTGAGGCAGTATGCATACGGCTGACAAACCCGGACTTGTGTGTCCGGAAGAAGATGATACAAAAACTACAACTTCTGTGACCGACCACCAGACTGGAAGGAATTCAAGGCACTCCGCAACTCCACCTGACTTCAGTCATGTGATCAGCTGACTGTCATCATGAACACAAGTCAAATGTTCTGATCAATTGTTTCGTTGTTATGCTGACGCTTGCAACAGACCTAACCCTGTTGTCTATTATGATGTGGGCCTGAGGAAGAACTAATCAAAAATACTTGTTCGCTTAAAGTTTCGTGTTTTGTTTCTTTTTTCCCACTTGACGTAATAAATGGGCATTCTGCTGGAGACAAAATGTTTGACTGGATATTTGGCTACACCGCCCCGGTCCTGCAGATGTTCACAACACAACACGTATAATCATGAGTGGGATTGATATGAGTAATTAATGGCTTTACCACAGCATCTTCCAAACGAAATAGTCCTCCACTTGCCCGGAAAATCTCTACACGAGATTTTCATCTGATCGGAACTCGTCGGTAGTGCACACCAATCGGCCCTATCAGGATCCGAACCAATAATCACTAAGGGCTTTTGTCAATTGTCAGCAGCTTTTATCGCAGATCAGGCAGTTCATGCTTTCGTATCAGGATGGTTGATAAGCAATGATTTCCTGTGGGTGAAGAAGATTCGCGTTAGAAGTCCCGTTGGGTGATATAGTGAGTGTCACAATTATGGCACTATATGGTACATTTCAAGTGGTAAGCCGTCCACTTCTTTTTTACGAAGAGGTATGACCAGGGTTTTGCACCGCTTCATTTGACAACACAGTGGAGTATCGGTTGATAGGACCAAGGCTTCTGTGCCGAAAGTCAAAGGAAGAAAGATTGCTGTGTAGTGAATGGGAAATAGTACAGTGTGTCTTCTGACCGTCTCATAACCATTACTAATGTGCACACTGAAACGATTGACTGGGGGAATGCATTCGAGGGCCAGTACGTAGGAGCATAACAGGAATTTATATGACAGCTTGTTCTGTTCTGTTTGATTTTACCATCGGCGTCGCAGTTCAATGCTGCTGTTGAGATCATGGAAACAGCGGAACACGCGATTCTAGTCACGAACTCTCCCGTAACTCATTGACATCATCATCCTCATCATTTTACACGTTAGCTGCAACTGGAAAACATCTCGGCTACTGTGCGGCAATATTAAAGACAACAAAACTATAAAAAATGGTACGCCGGCTGAGTCCCCAGTAACGGATGGACATCATTCCGGAGAGCAAACAGCCGGCTACCATGCCATAAAAAGTGTTATATTATGGTTAGCCAAGGAAATCGTGATTGGAGTGGGAGGCTGAGCAGGATGGGATGGGCAGAAGAAGTCACAACGCAAACGGTATTGGGGTCGGCTCCTAGCCATATCAGCAAGTGTGTTCAACCAAACGTGTTCATCGTCCTTAGGACCCCAGCCAGACAGTCGGGATGCACCAACCGAAGCTAACTTCAAATTAAGGGTTTTCATTTCTCTCGACCAAGTCATCGCTTGACCTCCTCTCCTCTTCCAACCGCACCCCCGAAGCGCAAACAATGCACGTCGCGGGAGTCGGTGTGCTGGCATGCTCAACACATGGTTCCTCCATCGGAGCCCGGTAGGTAACATAATGGTGTTGAGCGGTTCACTCGCCTCCATGCCGCATAGCCGAACACGCTCATTGCTCACGTGGTGCTCGCAGCAGACATGAGCTAAGCTGCGAACGCAGCGATGATCGAATGTGACGAGGCTCCTTATGTCTGCCGACCTGATGGGCTAGGCATCACAACCGTACAGGAGGGTTGAACGGACAGCTGCGTTATAAACTCTGCCCTTCAGGTCAAGATTAATGTCGAGTCTGCGACACATGTGGCAGAGATTGGTAAATAAATCTCGGCCTTTTGCTATACCGTTCGTAACCACATCTTCGATCCCACTGGCGCTAATATAGCCGCCCAGGTACTTGATTTCCGGAATGACTTCTAGCTGATCATCACAAAGCGTTAGTGCATGGGTGGGTCTCTGCCAATTTTAGAGAAGTACTTTGCCTTTTGATGGACCAAAGCATAGCCCAAAATCATCAACGATATATAGCCAGTGCTAGTCGGTCCAGTGCTGGCTGACATATTTGGGAGCTGTCACAGATTAGGACAATATCTTCCGCGTAATCCAAGTCGAGAAGTCTCTCACCAAGAAATAGCTCCACACCTTCTAGGTAGTGTCCAGCGAATGCTGTTTCCATGACTCCATCAATAGCGAAATTGAATAGAAATGGTGACAGCGCGCAAACTTGTCTCACACCGCTGGATATACTGAAGGGGGGGCGACAGTCAGCCATAAACCCTAACTCTGCTTGAACTATGTGCGCACATCGCTGTGATAATGCTTACGTATTATCACGCCCACCTTCCTCCAGCAGACATTTCCAAAGGGCAGATCGACCGACTGAATCGAAGGCACTATTATGTCAAGAAACACGACGACGGTGGGTCGCCAATAAACATGGCAGTGAGCCAACAACTGAGGAAATTTGAAGACGTGGTCGATGCAGCCCCGACCTCGATGAAACCAGACTTGCTCTTCATGAAGCTGTTTCACGAGTGCTAGTCGGTCTGTGGAGAAGGACAGACGCAACCTATTTAGTGGCAATTGAGCTCAGACCAATTCGTCTATGATTGCCGCATTCCGAGCAAAAGCCTCCCTTGAAAATTGGGACAATGACGGAGCGGCTCCAGTCTGCCGCGATACTCGCCTTATCCCGAACTTTAAATAGCAACTCGTGTAAATCATCTAGTAGAGCAGGTCCCTCGAATTTGAAGAGAGCTGGGGAATTCTATCTGACCCTACGGCTTTATGCAATTTCAACAGCCTGATCTCACATTCGACTTGTGCGTGTGAGGGTGGATGAAAGGACACGGCCCAGGGACAAGCGCACTCAAGGTCCGAAGAAGAAAGCGGTAATTCAGGTTGGTTAATTTGCCTTGCAAAGTGTTCAGCCGAACACTCCAAGCATTTTGACTGGCTGTGGATCGACGGCCCACTCTCATCGCCTATGGTCTCGCTAACACCAAGTCTCATGCTTCCTGTTTCCTGTATCAGATGGAATAGTTTACGATGATTACCAGCGCTAGCGGCTGTTTCCTTCTCCGAGGCATGATGAGACCACCAGGCTTCGCGGTCTTTCTTCAAGCTAGCACACAGTTTTGCCCTGAGATTTTTGCGAGCCTCATTGTATTCGCTTCCAGCCGGATACGTCGGCGAGCCTCCAAAAGTTCCACAGACTGTGTAGATACCCGATGTTCAGTTTGGCAATTTGAGTTGCCACATGAATACATGCCTGATGATGGTAACGTTTGACAAATATGCGACCAGTAGTCATGGACGGTGTTCAGTGAGCGTTTACTCAGCCCGGATGTCAGCGCACTTTGATACACGTTCAGAAGACCTGGTTTCGCCAGCTGGCTGGTGTCAATCCGTTTACGTCGACGTTGCGGACCTCCGCCGCAACACACCCGGAGGTGGGCACAGACGAGTGCGTGGTCAGAGTCCACACTCGTGCTCCAAATCGAGCGACATTTTTGAATACAGGCTCTGTAGCCGTAACTGCTCGCAATATGATCGATTTGCGTCCATGGCTGGTGCGAAGGTGGTGGGCGCCAAGTCACACTTCTGCCAGATCTCATCTTAATCGACGCTGTCGTTCACCAACTGCATTCAGTCGTTTCCATCTCTGCTGGCATGGTGGATGGCACCTTCGTGTTACGTATTTGGTGTTATGATATGGGTAAAGTCTCAGAGCGACGGGATCGTGCTTTTACCATGGATATCCATCTTTATTTTTGAATTTGGCGTGATACCAGCTTTTATTGTTTGCAATTGTGGCAAGCTAGATTGCTGAGTGTCAACTTACTCATCTCAATAGCAGCCCTTGTTGGCCACTAACTTTGGATGATTCTTTGTTTTCTTGGGATAAGCCTACTCATTTTGAACCAACACGTCATATTCAAGATAGACAGAATGACGCCGTAATGTGGTGTTGTATTGGGAGGACCTTGCATGTTTCAGTAATTTTCTGGCTGTCCACTGAAGCAGTTGCTAAGCAGCACTCGGCCTAGACGTTGGTCACATCATGATGTCGCCAGCAGGTAGAAGACCCACAACACTTGACTGAAATAGTCCAACCCAACATTTGCATGAACAACGACGGTGTGTGGCCCATTCA